AATGAGTCCAAAAACACAAAAAATAGCCGGCACCCAGAAAAGTTACAAGCATTTTCTCAGAACTTTTCCCCAACCTATTAACAAAAGTCTGTTTGAAAAGCTTTGTGCGGCGAGAAATCCCTGAAAGGAGGCGTAAATCCAAAGGAACGCACGCCGTCCACATCAGGTTAAGGTAGAAGGGTTTGATTTGGGATTTATATACAAATGCATGATTTTGCCCAAGAGTCAATCTAAGAAGTCTTTCGAACAGTTTAAACGCCTCTATGCGGTCAGTGATGGTCATTGGCACTAAGCCAATAAGGATAAAGGATAAAGCTCTCGGCGTGGATCAATCCCTGAGAGATGCGCCGTGAATTCGTCTTCAATTTTTAACTTCATTTGAGGTAATTGAATACATATGTGACCTTTACAGTGACTCGCGGTGGCCTGCCGCTGTATCGAGTCAGTGCTGCTTATCCTCCCAGACAAGTCTGAGATCAATCTTGTACCAATTTACTGGCCCAGGAGGGATGTATGGCTTGGTGAGCCATGAGCACGAGATCGAACTGTTGACTCTGTGTGCGACGCAGAGCAGCTCTAGGCATTGCGCTGCATGCGCTACACAAGCCAATAAGATAAACAGAATAGGAGGGGGAGGAGGAGAAGGGAGGATGGAGGTCTACCACAGCATGTTCAGATACTTTCTTAGACGAAAGCCGAGAATGAATCTAGATCAGTATGGCACAACCCAACGAGTGCTCTATGGCCAATTCATCACCAGGGATATCAAATTTGAAGAGGCGTGGGACAAAAAGTGTAGCGTTGTTCTAATTACTGGGATAATACCAGACCATTGAGCAATTTGAATGAGCAAAGGAAAAACTGCGACTTCAGAATCGTATTCGCTCAAGATGCTACCTGATCAACCGGGTATAAAACGATACAACGAAAGCATAACATGAATTTCTTAGTGAAAAAAGAAATCCTCTAGGAATCTCAGTTCTCAAAATTGCCATTTAAGAAAGCCGCCAAACTGCAGTTCAAGTCACATTTCAAAATCTTCTAGCCTAAAAATATGTCAGGTACCCGGACTAGCAGCAAAGAAAAGGCTAAGCATGCGTTCTGGCTACTCTCTGGTCTCTTGTCTGTACAAAAGGGAGAACAGACAACCTGACTCACAACTAAGAATATTGGGCAATACGCAAAAATCAAGCAGCAGGGAAATGAACCTGCGTTTAACATCCTACCAGGGGCGCGTGTTACCACTGAATCATCAAGGAAAAAAGGTGTTAAAAAAGCGGCGGCCTTCGTGGTTCAGTGATAACACGCGCCAGCGGTAACGGTGAAACGCGGGTTCAACCCTCGCTTAGGGTCGATCTTGCGCACCATTTGATATTCTTAGATGTTTATTTACAAACATATCGCTGTTGAAAAGCAGTGAAATTGAAAAACCTATGTAATTAATTAGAACTGTTAACACTTTGAAGACTAAGGTTGATAGGCAGAAGGCGTCGCGTTGTGACGCCGTTGTTTGCGCGGCAGTCGCAGGAGGCTATCTGCATGTCTGGATGCCTGCGCCCGCTTTCCCATGAGACGCGACGCCGCCACTACAATAATTCAGTAAGATATGACGTCGCGTGGCACGGTACGAAACGTACCGTTTGGTCTTCGAAGGGTTAACAATCAAAATGGAAAGCAAAACCACCCTAATAACTCAGGTTGCTGCGGAAGTTTGCCGAATGCAAATACCTCCCCCTACTTCGAATACAAATAAGCGACCATTCCCTAACTTAAGCAAACACTTTTTCCTTTTTTTTTCGAGCGCATGTGGCCAATAGTAGAGGTGCTCCGCATCGCACACGAGGTTAAAAGTTCGATCTCGCGCTCATGGCTCATCAAGCCATCCATCCACCCTGGGCCGGTAAATTGGTATCAGACTGGTCTCAGACTTGTAGGAGAGGACAAGCAGCACTGAGTCGATACAACGGGAGGCCATTGCGAGCCATTGGAAAGGCACTGTGCATTCAGTCACCTCAACAAAGTTAAGAATTCAAACGAATGCATGACGTATTCCTTAGAGTTTGGTCAACGCCGAGAGCTTTATCCTTTTAGCCTTATAGGTTTTCTTTTACTAGATAGAAAACGAGTAGTTAGCAAGAGTTTCACTAAACCTTGGGATCTAAAATAAGGCTTGTAAAAATCTCATCAAGAGACCTTTGATACAAAACTTGCGCGAGATCGGTATTCGTTCTTCAAAATCGCAGAGAGAGAGCGACAGCAGAATAGGAGCCCCGGTACTGCAAAGGATTAGCAAGCGCCCCAGAATGGTGAAACGTGGGTTCATATCCCGCTCAAGGTTCGTTTTGCATATCACCCAACTTCATTGTATACTTCCAGATCGATGGCTAACATTGCGACGACCTCACCCACCTGAGAGTAGTTCTGTCAGGTACAAAACTCCGCAAAAAACTTCGAAACCTTACACCTGACAGAACGTTTCTGAAGAAGGCGAAGTCGCCGAGACGTGAGCTGTCGACTTTGGAGTGTTCAAATATGTTGAGTGATTTGCAAATCCTTGAACCTTGGCGGAAGTTCGATCCACGTTTCACCTGTGCCACGACGCGTACTAACCACTGCACTACCGCGGTTCCTGTTCTGCTATCACTCTTTCGACGATTCGAAATCGATATACCAATCTCGAGCAATATTGGAATAGAAAAACAGTTCGCTAGATGAAAGATAAACTTTGTGGATATAGGAACTATAATTGTCCTGATTTCGAAAGGCTACCTGACCCGTAGGGGAACACGTGTTACGAAATGTTGCACGCCGCGCGACGTCGCGTTCCACTCAGCTACTGTGATGGCAGCGTCGCATCTCGGTACAAAGCAGGCACGCAGCATCTGCAAGTGCGAACGATGTGCAGATGCTGTCTGCGTGTGAGTGCCACGCGAGCGACCAGTGCGACGCAGCTTCCTATCTACGGCGGTCCCCAATGGGTTAACAATGAACACCGTCAATTCCACCACCCACAGCAAAAGACTTCTCACTCAGCCTGTGGGCACGGCGTGCATTAATTTGAATGCCACGCGATCTGAAGGCTTTTCGCCGGGCAGAACTTTTTTATTCGGCTTTTAGCACTTATTTGATCGCCTGAGAAGTGGGATTTTGACAGTGTATTCGGTTTGTGAAGAGGACTTCTTAGTGAGCTGAAGCACTGTAGAACAAATCACGCGTCACCTTCGGCGTGAATCACGCCCCCAGATCTTGCTTGTACTTGGCCTTTGAATAGACTTTTAGTAGTCATTCGCTAGCTTGAAAAATGCTGATTCTTATATTGGGCTTACGTTCTCGAAAGGTTTTCGAAGTGAGCTGTAGCAACGAAGAGAATATTGATGGAAACAAAAGTAGGATTTTGTAGTAGATGAGCGCGATTTTCTCCATCTGTAAGCGTTTTATATGCACAAAAACACATAGGAGAGCATAGAGAAGAACATGGAGCATCAAAAAAAAAACGAAAAACTTAGAAATTTGTCGAAAAACTGAGAAAACAACATCAATTAAAATACAAAAATCGCGCGCCGCGCGGCGGTCTCAACTGCGGTTCCCAAGGTGTTAACGACACCAAAGCAAAGGTTTACTGCGACTCAGAAAAGTAATAGATCATTAAGATAACAAACCTCGAACAATTCCCTCCATTCGTTCATCACAGCCTGACCAGGGGGAGTCCACGGATGGGAATGCACCAGTTCAAATGTGCGTAATTGAATCGTAAATAAAAAACACTGTCCGAAGTTACGGACAAAGCACACTAAAAGACGAGACCTTAGCCAATGGAGTTTTCGACACGTGCGCCTTCTTTTGGAAATACCTTTGTAGAAGTCTCTCTGGTGAGATTTCGTCATTTAGTAACAATAAAGGGGGCCCCATGGCCGAGTGGTTGTGATGCTCATCGCGGCGCTCGTAGAACCAAGTTCCACCCCCGACACTCTTTGGCAGTCAACAAAAACGCCCAATGGAACGTCACAGCGAGCCTGTCTTTGAGATTGCAAGAAGACATGCTCGACCAGTGTTCTAGGTCACTCTAGAAGAAGACGAATATGAATTGAATGCTAGACGTAGCGAGATCCACGCAATAAAAAAGATTATGATGACGGATCGTGTAAATAAAATTAAAAAATGACGATAAAGTCTCATTAAGGGTGCTGTGGCCGAGTGGCTTGTGATGCACGGTGCGGCTCGACGCCGATGTGATCTCAGAACTTTCCAACATTTCAGCAATCAATAACGAGCGCCCTACGGAACGCCTCTGCCTGACTATCCTCGAGATTGCAGTGATATGCGCCCGATCAGTATTTTGAGACAGCTTGTGGAGAGATGAATCCTTAAGTCAGCGAGGAGACGAGTCGGATACTAGGGATACAGGGAACCCCAGTGTAGAAAGAAAACCCGTGATACGGGTCAAATAAAGTGGCAAAAGATAAAATTTGCTTAAATACTAAATCTTTTGCTATATTAGTATCAGAGTTCTTTTTATTTAACCGTTTTTATCGGTGGTATGTTGTTAGAATTATCCACATAGTGTTATGAGATGTGCATAAACTTCTGCGTCAGGCGGGACTCGAACCCGCGCTTCACCATTTCCGAGAGCGTGCTCGAACCGTTGCATACCGACGCCCGCTTTGCTACCACTCTCTCTACGCTACAACGCAACAATCTGTTAGCAAGCAACCGTCAAGGGTTTGGTCTGACAGGCGATATCGACACTGAACCCAATGATGAGGGTTCGAGCCCCACCCGACGTCAAAGTTTTTGCACATCACTCAACGTCATTCACTATATCCATAACATCGTTTCTCCTATAATAGCGCTTGAATAAAATTTTTATTATCTTTAATATATATCCAGTATCTGTCAGCGTGACTACGGTTCAGTGTCGATATCGACTACCATGTCGAACCGTTGACGGTTGAATGCTAGCAGATTGATGCGTAGTAGCGTAGAGAGAGAGTGGTGGAAAAAAGTTGATGGTGCAATTGGATAAGCACGTGTCCCTAGGAAAGGGTATAATGCGGGTTCGAGTCCCGTCTGAGGTCAGAGTTTTGACATCACTCGACATTATTGAGTATATTAGTATCACTTTATTATAGGGGTGCGTCAATCTTCGCAAGCCGCTGAAGGGGAGAGGAACGCGCACGTATTGGTTTCGGTACACATCGTGCCAAACCTGTTCTCAGTTATGTGTTGCGCATGAGGATGGTCACTCAGGTCAGTCATTTAAGAGTAACATTCGTTTCCCAAGCAATTCAGCTAGTTGGGTTAGTTGTTATTGGAAATCTTCCATGTTCTGTTGATCTATGAAATGCGCCGTATTCAATATTATTAGCGCATATGGAGTGTCCTATCATGCACAGCCCGATTAGATGAGTTGCAATCAGTAGTTGGGACAGGGTAGCGCAGTGGTCAGTGATGTAATGTATCGGGAAGCGAAAGTGACGAACAATTCTGTGGTTCGATTCCCACCCTCCAGTAGTCTCGCAGTCGATCAACGAACGCCGTGGGGCTTGGCCTAGCTACCCTCTAAGATTGCAACAGAAATCGTATCGCTGAGCATTCTCTGACATTTGTAAACAAGACAAAGTGACCAAGGAGTAACCGAACCAACACGCGAAATATTCGAAGTTCTTTGTGGAAGACGAATACGATGGAATGAATCAAATGTAAGATGATAACAAGTCTGTAAAATAATTGCTATATGATAAGTTGCAGTATTTATTTTAACTATTTATTCGGATAATATTTTGGAAATTCGGCATCGATTCGTTTATAAGTAGGAGTTGAATATCCCTGCAAAGGATTAATTGATCCGAAGGCCATTGCACTACTGATGAGCTTGTAAAGTCGAAACAGCTACCTAATACTGTTTAAGTGCCACCAAACCTCATTAAAAACTCAAACATATTCTCAAAATATCAGATATTTCTGAGCGAGATCTATACGGATAGTCGAAAACTAAATGTATGAATCATTCTATCAGCCATAAGCTCTCGATCGCGATTACTGCAATGTCGGAGAGTTTTGTTGCTCGGTACATGCGGAGCTTCAAATAAGCCGGCGTCGATTCTTTCATGAACAGGGATTTGTCCTTCTGCACGGGATCGGCTGAACCGAAAGGCATCGTGTTGCTGATGAACCGGTTAAGGCGAAACAGTTGTCTAGTACTGTGTAAGTACCATAGCAGACCTCATAAAAGGCACAAAACATACTATTATATTAACAATTATAATTTGCAGTCTTTCTTGTTTTTATCATTACATGGCCATACATCGCATGTATAACCGTCTGCTAATTGCTGCACTTATTACATTCTTTTCCTTGCATTCAACATCCACAAAGGTCTTCTTGAATTGCTGCGTGTGTTTTTTTGTAGCTAATTCTTCAAGGCTTATTTCACTGCCCACAATATCAATGACCGGAATACCTTAGATCTTGGGATAGCCTTTCTGAGCAGCTCCCATGTGCACTGGAAAGTATCAGCTTGACAACGGCAATTCTGACACAAATTACCAACTGCGGATGGAAACATTGGTGAGCTTGGTGAACCCAAAGTGGAGACGAACTAGCGCCCGGGTAAGTTGGACCACTTGTATAATGAGCGAGCTTTCAATCACTGCGCTTTCCGCTTCATCAGCATTGTAGTTAACTCCATGAGAAAACCTGATTATCACAGAACGTCTTACAATGCTTCAAACCGTAAGGAAAATGATCACAGTGCGTCAAACTGGGGTGCTCAAAGAGACCTTACCACTAACGTAAGGTGAGATCAAAGTATAATCATATTTCAGCAGTTTCTGAAGATAAATCCCTCTCTAAAAGTAATATTTTCACTTATGAATGTTCGATTCCACAAATTCGTACTATAGAATTTCAGAGGCTAATGATGTGATTCTCTCTTCATTACTTCGTAAATAATGAGTTTTTTAGAAGCATCCATTCTGCGGTTTGACCGCTAAAAGACCACATATATTCAACGAAATTTGAAAATCTCAAAATTACTTTCAAGCTGACAAATCTCACCAGTGACAAACTTTTCAAAGTTTTACATAACTTCGCAGTCAACATAGTTGTGATGTCTCGTGGAAATTCCGTCTTTTGTGTGTTCAAGATAAGTCGCTCATTCAAATTTATAACGATCAGTAAAATGTTTGAATAGCAGTTCATTACAATAACTGCTAGGATTTCACATATACATTCACAATGCTGCATTTGAGCGAATTATACACAGACCAAGCCAGCTGCAACGAAAACATGCAGCTATTTTCTGAGAACAATACAAATTGGTTATACTGAATCAATTTCAGAGGCAATGGTGCAGTTAAAAGAAGAAGAAAACAGATCCACGATAAATAATATGTTCTAATTTCTCCAGTGATTAATAAGTCGGAGGGACGAGAGGAAGATCCTTCCGGATTTGGGAGAAAGTACATGTGTAGATCATTAGTTCAGGAGAATCTGTGCATAGATTAATTATCGCGTCGACATTAGGCGACGATTGGCCGTCATTACAATGTCCGGATGGTTGGCGCTAAACATTGGTCATTTTAATTAGAATCTTCATTATGTAAATCACAGGCTGTATTTGAGCTGACATGCGGTATATCAAAGACATAGGAATAACGCGTGTGGCGCTATTGCATCTATCCTATTGATTAGCTTGACGGTATGATCAATACGTATGTTTAACAAGTCCTGACTACCTCTCGCGCCTATACTGGTTTATCTGTCTAGAACGACGAAGTCATGAACGGCATGGAGAATGTAAGCAGTGACAGACTTACACCTACCCAGTTAGTAGTGCTGTGGTCGTGAGACAGGATAATTGTCAGCAACGTATCTGCAAACAGAATACCGTTTTCTAGATGAGTTTATTCATATTCTTGAAGAGAATGCAGGTGAAAAAGTAAGCAGGAACGATATGAAGTCTCAGGCACAAAACGTTTAATGAAAATACTATTTAGTCTTAAGTTTATTATCCAGAGGAAAATTCAGCTCAGCGCGAAAGTTCAACTGAAAAAAATTTCTGAATCGAGTACAGACACTTCGTTAGGTATAATGTCTTAAGTTATCACGCAGGGATACTCTTCAAATTTTTAAAAGACAACCTCAAAAAACTTATAATAATGGTATAAATTATGGCGGGAACCATTTATTTCAAGACGACGAAAGAAACAAATTTCGTTTTTGTATGTTATCCAGGACAAATGAAGAAACCGGGCAGGAACTTTTCGTGAGAGCATTAGTGATCATTCGAAAGCTTGAATATCCAGCTACTGCGTCACTAAGTCGTTTTCTCAAAAAGTCTTTTCATAACACTGTATCACAAAATGAACATTTGTGTTTCCCACACGCATATTCTCCTAGGACATAGCTGCTCCCTGGAATAACAAGTAATCATTCGGTAGCGTAAGTTTTGACGATTCCAACTCTATATAATCTGATAACATATTTTGAGTCTTCTATGAGGTGTTTTGTTGCACTTTTCTAATGCTGGACGTACGTTTAGGCCTTTCGGTCTCATTAATAGCACGGTGCCTTTCGGTTCAGTCAATTTATCAAATTGTTATCAAGGTTCATATTGTTTTAATCAAGGTCTCAAAAACAGGCGAACATAAAGATTCTAATAGTGTGCTTATTTCTGAAAAGACCGTTTCACTGCACTGTAGCAGGGAAAATAAGAACGCGTTTCATATGTGCGGCGTATTTGCTTGTCGGCTAGTGTGTGCGTGTGTTGGTCAGTGCTGAAACGCTTCGACACGGCGTTCCGCGATCGATCAATTGCGCTGAAGCGTTACACATGCGGCGTGCAATTTTTGTTACTTAACTTGCGATTTTTTCTTCTTTTCGAAAGAACTCCGCACATAACGTAAGACTCTTTTTATACAAAGTTTTCTCTAAGCGTTCATATGCTTCTCGTGCAGCAAAGTAATAGTAAAAGTGTGCGGAAGGTGCACGTAGCGCAATAGCCAGAGATTTGAGCTTTCGGATTACTACTAACTTTTTGAAAAAAAGACTGTCCAGCGAAGAGGGTCGTTTCTTCATTTGTCTCCAGATAGCATACAATTCATTTCCATTTTCTTTTCATTTTTCATCGACAAATTCATCTTAGTTCTTCGATGATCAATTGATGCCATTACATAATTTTGGAAGGAAATTTTCCCGAATAGATGAAACATTCGCACCAATAGGAATGCTTGTCCCCATGTGTTTAGATGGTTACGTGCTCTTGGTTGATCCAGAAAATCGCTATCCAGAAGAAAGCAAGGCAAAAGCGAAGAGTTAAAGCATTGAGTAGCGATGGGACGGATTAGCACATCTATGCAAAAACGTACTTATCCTTTTTTGCAAATACAAGGCCCATATCGACAAGATAAAGCAATCCGCCTAGGAAATAGAAGGCCTGAAAAATAAGATTAGAAATTTATCACAAATTAAATATGTCCTTCTTGCAACTTGCAACAATGAAATACTGTTCGCTACAGTAGACCCAACCATGTATTCTTAGCATTTGGAAATGTACCCAATTGACAAAATTTAGTGCTTTCGTTGTTATAGTACACGAATATTTTTCTTGAACGCAAGTATAAATTAATGTAATTTTACTCTGATCTAAGCCATGAGAAATCAAAACATTGCATAAACAGTTTTCAGTACACCTCGAGTGGTTTTGTCATAGAAGAAATTGGTAGAAAAAAACAAAGGGCGAAATGGAAAAAGTAATACCACGAAATCCGCCACTTTCTCTTTTTTTTCTTGAAGTGGAAGATTCAAGGTGCCGCACCATATGGTGAACACATTTGGCTAATCAGAAAAAAGAGCTGAAACTCACAGCTGCCACTGCCCATCCTTTCACGACGAATTGAATTTGACAACCAGGGAGTCCAGCACAGCCCGATACAACGCCATTTCCGACGGCCTACAAGTGAAGGAGACTTTACTGATCTACGAGAGTCACTCAAACTTAATGGATGAACGAAGTTGAACGTAAAATGTGTATGTATAATGCGCATATATATATATATATATTTATATATACGTAT